CATTGGCGGCAGCCATTAAATAATAATACCAACAACGAAGATCATAAATATAACAACAACGATCATGATAATAACGACAATGATGATAATCGTGACAACAGTGATAGTCGTAGTAGTCATAGTAGTAACAACGCTCCGATGCCTTATTTACGCGCGCAAATCGCAAGACAGAGAAGCGTTTTGCAATGCAGAATCCAGTGCGCAGTGGCATGAGTCACCAATATTTCTGCGCGTGCAATCTCTGCGTTCTTCCTTTCTAAGGTGTCCTCGGAGATCTACGTTCAAAGCTGAAAGCAATCGTGCCAAAGTAGATAAGCAGGAGAGCTGTTTGGGGCTTGGGGTTCGGGGTAACAGATGGAATCTGCTCCCAACACCTACCCCAACAGCAAAAGCAATGCATGCAACGGCATTTCCGAAGGCTGAATTCACAAACACCCGCGAATACTGAGTCGAAAGGGCCCTGAAACCCAGCGCGAAGTGCGCGTGAAAAGGGCTTCGGAAGGAATAAAACATAGTGATAACAACTTCTGATACTGATGATGATAGTAATACTAGTGCGAGTAGTATTGCTGACAATAATAATAGCACAATCATGCTATCTGCCAGCCGGACTAAGGGCAAAGATAATTTGTTTGGCTGGTTTCGGAAGCATGCCCGGGGCGACAGGCAAAGTGTTTGTGTGGGCCTTGGATTTGAGGCTGCGACGGCCACAATGATTGTGGATCCTTGGCAGCAGGGAAGTGTTGCAGCCCGGCCATGGCCACACCGACACGGTCTTGGAGCCGCGCTGAGCAAGTTTCTGGGTCTGGAAATGCTCCTCGCCGTCCGGCCTCAAAGGTTCATGACTGCCCCAAGATCTAGCAACATGTGCTGCTGCAGTGTCAGCACACCTGATCCTGCACGATACGTACGACCATGTGCAAAGGAACTGGAGATCGGCTACTCAGACTGCCGCAGGATGTCGACGCTGATGCCCACGACATGGTGTCACTCGACATGAACACTCCCTGTTTTTGTCTGCAAGAGGCGTGTGCTGGATCGAGCCCTTGGGACAGAAATGAAACATGATTCTGACCATAAGATCTCTCATTTGCTCACGGAACTTTGCTGCACAGTGGCTGGCGTCTCCGTGGGACATTGTGGGACCATGTGGCAATACAAACGGCTGCGTGAGGTATCTTGAATGAAAGCACCTTGCAGAGCTTTCAGAACGGCACCTGCAGAGGCGACGAGAAAGAGCTACAAATCCTCTACCTTCTGCCCTTGGCATAACCGGCACTGCAGCTACAACATTTGCAACACAAACCTTTCGGACACCGGACAAGACAGTGCCAGTTTCGGCACTGACAAACATCGCATAGGGGTGTACTGCATCGAATCCGGAAACTCACGCTGAATGGCAAGAAAGCTTGGAAAAAGAAGGTCAGTTGGGTAGGCTGTGGTCTTGTCTAGAGAATCACAGGAGCATTATCCTGTCTGAGCTGTTCACAGGGTGCTCTTCATGAGAAGTGAAACGGATCGCGCTCACAGCTGGCTTTGAATAATAATAATCCATATTAGCTGAATTTGCAAGACTTGTGCAGAATGCAAGAGCTGCGGCCCTGTCCACCCAGTCTAGCCGTCTCGGGGTTGCGATGCGGTATGCGCCCTGGGAAATAAAGCGACCAGATCTCTTTGAGAGGGCGCTCTCGGTCGATGCATGGATGCTCTGGAAGATTCTGCTGCAGCTTCTGATTCCATCAATCGCTGTCTTCCCGCACTCCCTGAGTTCGCCCACGGCCTGCAAGCCAAACTTGGAGGTCTGCTACTAAACCCCTTTGCAAACGGACGTTTCAAACGCCTAGTACTGGTGGAGTCGCTTCAGTCTCCACATGTAGCCTGGAGATATGCCCCTCTCTGCTAAGCTCGGCACTCATACTCAAAGAGACTATGCCGTGCCTCGACATCTCCTGCAGCGAGAGTACCAGGCTGGACAGGCCTTGGCCGCTCAAGTCGCAGTACTTGCAGTGTGAACGCAGCATGGATTCGCAGCAAACATCAGACGAAATCAATTAAACTTTGCCTGCCAGCGACCTTGCAGCTTTGGAGCAGCGTGCCGAAACAGGAATACGATGTTGCCTGCAAAAGGCATTCCGAATCAGTCCGACGCACGACCAGCAACGCTGTTCCAGATCTGCAAGACATCTGGGAAAGTGGCTGAGCACTGAATGCGCGTCTGCCGCCGACATTTCCAAGGCAGTCGTGAGTGTTACAGCCTATGAGCAGGATGCCTTCGACAGCTTACAGACAGTGCTCCCTAACGTCTAAAAACTCAGCTAAGTCGTGGGCACCGAAGCAGCCGCTGTTTCGAAGCTGGGAGAAAACATCGGACAACAGGCACAGTGGTGGCAGTGCCTGTCGGCAGAATTGCAAAGCAGGGAGACTGAGTCTGCCCCGTGCCCATGGCGCCTTCTCGAGCAGAGGCATGAGACCGTCTACATCCCTGAAAAGTCTTTGTTTCGGGATGCGCAGGCCACCTTGGTAGTTCCAAGATGACACCCCCTTTTCCCCTCTCAGCGCCTGAGCCAAGCACGGCGAGTCTGTCTAGCAGGCCCTGTCCAAGTATCTTCTCCACTTGCCTTGCACTTCGCCACAGGTCTGGCAGGCCATGATGGTGCCTGAGATCAACAGGTCTTGGAAGAGCCGGGACAAGGATCAAAGTTCTCAGACACGGAGCAGCAATCGGAACCTCTGTCTCGACAGCCTCGGGCTTTCGAAGCCTCAGAGAACTTTCAATCTCCCACGCGCACAAAGACGACCGAGAAGGCTTGCAGCTTGGCGCAGCGGCAGTGCAGACAGGTCATAGACCTTGGCCTCAGGAATACCTGAAGAATTTGTTGCGGCCATTTGCGGCCACGGGCGCAGAACGTCTACGTGTCTGAATGCTTGCGACAAACAAGACGCCCCACGGCGCACGTTCCTTACCTGTATGGCGCATCCTTGCTTCGACCGCTGCTTGGAAAGGCACGCCGCGCTTTAAACACCCTTTTGAAAGGTATACCTAATGACCTAGTGGTCATTTGTGCTGAGCTTTATACCACGATGAAGACATCTTCGCCATTTGCCTGGGCAAAACGGGGCAAGGCCGGCGCTTTGTCCTGATGAACACAGTGTGGGAAGTTGAGGTACTTGGTGTTTAGTCTGCCCTTGCAAAGTTCGCAAGTGGCTCTCCCACGTCGCAATCTCTGAGCGTGACACGGTAGGAAGCCTTTTTGTCCATGCTCGTACCTGCGATGATCTTGAGGAGGTGCATCAGTTCACATACAAAGCTTACCATTAGGATGCATCGACTTGCGTGAAGGTGTTTGGGAAATGACAACATCTTTCGCTATCCTCGTTGAGCAGGTGCCCAGAGCGTGCCTCGTTGGGCGTATGATTGGGTTTGTTTGGAAAGCATTCGACATGGATGCCATCAAGCCGACCTTCGGATTGATACGAGGCCGGATGAGAGTGGCTGTTGTTGATCAATCATGATGAGTTTTGCCTCAGAAAAGATGTGCATGGTCATGGCCACTGCAAAGGGATCACACGGGCATATCGGCACGCGTGCGTTTGTTTGTTCGTGTGTGTCAAGCCGAAAAAGGCGACTTTTCGGGTTAGGGTTTCTGGGATGGGATTGTGAGACTCGAGGCCAGGATGTGAGTCAGTGTGAGTATGTATTGTATCGTGCTCTAGAAGCTCTAGAAGGCTCTTAGGTCTGAATCTTCCGCATTGCCCTCGAGTCACTAACACCCGTTCGTCAATGAACGCTCAGCATTATCGGTTGACTGATCGACCCGGCGTTCTTCCCCGATCCCGACTATCTTCCGCCTCACAGGCCTAACATGCCTGATCCGGGGTTGGAAAGACTCAACAGACTTCAAGACCAACGAGAGCAGCACCAGCAGCATGTAACTAAGCCTCCTGTAGTCTTCTGGGCACTACGGCACAACTGTATTCACACATGATAACCACTTGCAGTCCGTGCAAGTGACTCGACGCAGAGGGCTCACGAGCGGAGCTTCGATCGCAAATGGGCAATTTCGTCTCTGAGAGCCAGCTCCTCCGACATCACAGACGCTGTCCAAAGCACGTCGTCACTTCTGCAATCCAGGCCGGAGTAGCCCGCTCTTCAACCCATTGAAAACTTGGAGTGGCATCCTGCATGCGCATTCTGGCTCCACATGCCAGCACTTTCGCATTTATTTGCAGTGCAACCAACGCAAAAAAGAAACTGGACATGCGGAACGGGTGCTGCAGAGACTGGTTCAAGTCCATCCTCGCAATGCGCATCCAGGTATTCGCTTTGGTCACTTTGACCTCCAAATCCAGGCAGCTGTCTGGGGTCTTTAGAGCTGCAGCGGCGTTGAGATGCTCACGGAGGATGTGCACGTCCGGATGCACCTGGGACCTGAGAAGGATTTAGAGTACGGGCCACGGTATGCCACGGTTCATGGGGGATGGATCAAGTGCTCGGGCGCTTGCGACGCAAATTCCTTCTCCTGAACAACTCTGAAAATCGGCCCAGGGCCCAGGGATCTGTCAACTTGCCGGGCGCCAGGCCTCCAACGCCTTTGAGGCACAGGGGACAGAAACCAGTGTTCTTTCGTCTCACGGTGTTCAACACACCATCTCGTAAAACCGCTTCGCCGATCTCCAAGCCTTTCACCTTGAAGTTGGCGGCTGGGCTGGGACCAGCAGCTGTCGACTCACGAACTCTAAAGCTTCAAGCTTACCTTTGTCTGCCGAAGCTTCTGCAAAGCACGCTGCGAGGAGCCACGATCTCAGCCTCTTGAGACTTGAAATCATGGGCCTTTATCACACCCGCCCCGCCCCCAACCCACCCGCCCGGGTTTGAATAATCGCAGTCCTTTTATGTGCAAGTTACTTGGGGCCTGAACTTGTTTATTTCTGTGGGCGTCCTCCGGTGCGGGGTGAGTTTGGCTTTGTTATGCTTTGTTCAACCAATCCTCCCTTCTTCGAGTGAGTGCGGAGTTTTCGGGCTGACTGTCACGAGGGTCGTGACCGCGTTGGCTGTTGGCATGTTCGAGACCTCGAGACCTTGTAGTTATCATCTTCACCATCAGCAGCATCTCCACAGTTTCACTCTGTGGCATTCCCGTGCGTCCGCACGGTCCAGGTCAAAAAGCATCAACTGTCTCACGGATTCCACCTCCCAAGCCACCCCATCCTTGTGGCTGTTACCATGCTGTTACCGTTTCACTAGCATCTGGGGCATCTAGTGGCAAGCAAAGCAACTGTCACGAGGATAGCCCCTCCGAACACCTCTATCCGTGCTTTATGTTCAGCGAACAGGGAACTAGTTCGCTCTTGTTCACCCGTTGTTCACCCGTCCACCGTCCGGAGCCTTCGTGCGAATCGAACGTCGGACCGCCAGTACTTAGCACTGCGTGGCTAAGCGATGCGAACGAAAAGATCAGTCCGAACGGTACGGCTCACGGACGGACGGGAAGGGTGAGTAACGGGAAAACGTAAAAGCCTCGGGCCTGTCGCTGCAGGTTATATATGGAGCTCATGCGGAACACAGTCTGATTGTACGCAAATAGCACAATTGCCGTGTGAACCAGAAGCAACGGGATAAAGGTTGACAAAGGCTTCATAGACTGCACGTGACTGAAAGTTCATGCATCCAAAAGCACGCCTTGTTCTGAGCTTCGACCTGCCAGTGGCGGTGCCAAGGTGCAAATTGAAATGCCCCGGATCGAAGGGCTCCGAAGATCGAAGACGATAGAAACGTGGCAAGGCAAACTGAAGGCAAGCTTCCAGGCACCTGTTTCGTCAGGCTGTGCACCTTCTCTGCCAATCCCCTGCGCAGTCGATGATTTCAATTCCTGATCCGTCCTGATTGCTGAACGTCCGGTCCTGACAGTGTTTCCGACCTGGTGGAAGGTGTCTTTCAAGTCCTCGAACTTGTTTAAATCTGTTGGCAACAGATGCGATTGCAAAGTGTTGTCAGGATGCTTCTGGGTCCTTCTCGACCCTGCGTAGGATCAAGGATATCTCTGATGCGTGTCTGGCCCGTTCATGTGAAAGAACCTGTGCACCAGTTGCATGTGGACGTGATAAGTCCAATGGATGGCGCCTGGTTCATGGCGGCATGCATTCGCGAGATTTGATGAACCTTAGCAGGCGGCTCGCCATGGCTCGCCATGCAACGAGAAGGCCCACCGAAATTGAAAAGACCCATATCCATCATCGATAATGGCTTGTATGCCACAGCGTGCGAGACGTTGTTAAAGGAAGACTGCGGCTCGAGACGGAAGGCAGGCTGGAGAGATCTATTGAGCCTCTTCCCTGGCCCTCGCCCTTGCCACGACTGCATGCGGAGTCGGACGTGGCCTCTTGGAACCTAGCACTTCAGTGGGTATCTTAGCGACGCGTAATCCCTCAAGAACTTGGCGTGGTTCTTTTTTGGTTCACTTTGCTCACGTTGCCGCCAGACAGAGCTTCGCGGCTACGGATTCAATATACTAACTTACTAACATACTATGATTCAATGAATGTGCTGCCAACAGCAACTTCGCAATCTGAGCTGAGATGCCATGCAGTCGCTGGCGGCAGACCTCGTTGCCTGGCGTCTCGTCGAGTCGTGGAGTGCCACAGTTCGAGCCAAGATGCACTTTGATCGCTCAGCCTCCAGGCCCTGCTCCCAGTTTGCATTCTCCGCCTTCGGTTTGGGGCGTATGTGGAAATTTTGCGAAGCAGAAACCACCATGCAATGTGAAAACTCCAAATGAACACGTACAGTGGTTGTTTAAAGTTGGAACCGGTTAGATTCTGTGGAGATCGATCTACATCCGGCTCACAGCCCAGGGATATCCCGCCATGTACGCACGGCAAGCGTGATGTGTTTTTGCTTGCTGCCTGTGCAGCTATCGTATTACGCGTGAGATCGCGTGAGAGAGGCAGTCTAAAAGAACGATTTGCTTTGGCTGGCCTTGGGCAGGGATGTGTCGGTGGGGGGACGGCAGCCTGCTCGAACACATATTGTAGCCAATGAAGTAACCCCATACTTTGTTTCAACCACGAACTTGCATGGCCTGACCCGCCGTCAATGTGCATATATGTGCATTGACTGCAGGATGGGCTGTTGATAGCGTCATCATTGTTGCTGGAACTCCTAGTGCTCAAACGAAGCCTTGCATCTTCGGCCTCAATGAACGATCCGGAATAAACAACATACACCCCTCTTGGCTAAGCAGCAATACAAGTACGGTTAGCACTCAATACAGATGGACTTGCGCGCATAGCCACGCGAACAAACACTGAGCTACTAAAGACATACCAATGAGACAAGCATGAACATGGCCTTGCATGGACTCCTTGTCAGTGAATGGTATTTTTCTCTCTGAGAAAGAAAGGTTTGCAGCAAAATCTCTTGCCTTATGAGTGAAGACGCGCAGCTTATCGCAGCGGTGGTTGCAGGCAAGTGTGTAGGAACGGTCGTTGGGACATGAAGACGAAAATTTCAAAGGATGCGGGTTTGGTCCCTGCTCAGCAGAAATGACCGCTATTACTGCGTCTCGGTCTTGCTTCTTTTCCCTTGCTCGCTTGCTTGCTTCTTGATTTTCCTTCCTTCCTCCCTTTGATCTTTTCTTCTTCCCTCCGTCCTTGCCATGGTTTCTTGCGTTGCTCGTTATTTCCAACCAGACACTAGGAAAGAACACCAGGAAACCACAGGCAAAACATCCCAAAACATCTCCAAACAACGAAAACCTAGGCAACACCAAGCGAGGAACATGCAGTATGCACAAAAGAAAAGACCCCACCCCCTCACCGCACACACAAAAGGACCCAACAACTAGGCCCTGCGTTCAGTAGCACGAGTGGCAGCATGCGGCAGCCTTAACATTTAGTGCGTGTAGAGTGGCGGAAGGTGCAGAACTACGCGCTGTGGACCAAAGCTGGCTCGAAAGATCCTGCCCAGCGAGACCGGCAATGAACCTCACCCCACTCATACCAAGCAACAAAAGTAATCGCGGCAGGTCCTGATCTCCACATGAACTCCTTGACGGCTTCCAGCTCCTGCCCACAACTTTTCATCACAGCATTGACAAGGCAACCTGCATGATCTCGTGAATCAACTCAACCGCTTGTCTACAAGATTCTACAAGAAGATTCTGTGTACCGAGTCAGAGTTAGCGTCGCTTACAAAGTGCATGCTGCATGAGGCATGAAGAATGCTCCCAGTTTCTTGGGCTTTCTGTCGCCAATTCCTGGAGGTCTTGTCGGATGAAATGATAGTTGTCCGGTTAACCACACTCCCGCTACATGCACGCTTTCGCATCTGATTCCGAGCAAGCGGTCAACATGTTGTGTACATTCAGGATTTGGTGAGGAGGAGACGAGGGCGGTTGTCCAGCTGGATAACATGCCAGACTAGGGCAAGGCCAAGGAGTAGCGAGCTGTTGTCATTGACCGCAAACACCATGCAGACTGTGTGAACCACTTGATGGGTGAAAAGCACTTTTGGACAGAGCTCTGAGGTGCTGTGCGCAGATCGCTTGCAAATCGGTCCTTCGGTTCCATACTCCCGGCATCGACAGCATTTTCGTTGGCGTTTCCATCGCGACTTCGGTCACTACATCCTTGTTGACAAGTAGGTTCATGTGGGTATATATATATATATATATATGGGATATGTATAAACTTCCTGCATCTTCCGGCCACATGATTTGAACTTTGCGTTTGCATCATGTTGCATCATTATAGCAACAATGGTTCAGCTCAAGTCAGGCGCATAGGCAGAACTCCCTAACTGCCGGTCAGATGAGCTTTGAAGACTCAAATACCTTCAGAGCCTCTCACACACACAGGCACAGCAAACAGGGGCACTCTCGGTCCATCTGGGTCCGATTATCTTCGGATTTTTCAACATTGCCTGATGTTGCGGCAGGCAGTGATGATGAGCGCTCTCACGTTAACGCTTTGGTGAAAGCGTGGCTGATCACCACCGTGCCGGCACTATATGGCACTATGCAAGATAGCTCTTGGGTCATTCGAGCAACTGCCTCACATGTGAGGGCACCATGCCCGGAGGCTGTCTTGCAACAAATTCGCGCAGCTGCGCTTTCCAATCAGGATGCTGCACCAAGACGTCCTGCGCACGTGCAGTGCAACGTGTCAGGCGATCGCAAGCGGACTGCGACTGTGCTCTCGGTCCTCCAGCTGAGAGAGTGGCAACATGGACAGCACTCTCGCAGCTCCAGTCGACTGGCTCGCGAACGTGTGCTGCAGCACAATCATGAAGCCTCTCCTCGGCTATGGTAAGCTGGCTTGCGCAGGGATTGGAGTCACGAGTGTTGCAAGACAAGTCACCACATCCTCTCATCGCCCCAAACCTCTTGTCGAACAAGTCGAGGAAGAATTTCCACAACGACAAAATCTGAGAGACGAGGAAGCTCCTTGACCTCGAACATCAACCCAAGTTTCGCACAGCTGACCGAGAAACCCTCATGCACAGGATGGGTGTCTGGCAACTTGAATCACAGTGCGCATGAAGAGTTGCGGAAGCGGCCCAGGCTCTTCAACAAGTGACTGAATAACAATTCCGTAGACTTTGGGGTCAAACTGGTCCTGCTCACACAATCACAGGCTTTGTTGAGTCCAACCAGTGACATCAACATCTCAACGTCGACTGCTGAATGCCAGTCCCGCATGCCAAATACGATGTTGAGCGCTTGCATAGAAGACTGGATAGGTACCTGCAGCGTTGTTGCTGAGACTGGGACGACCATGCCGCACTAGCTAAGCATTCGAGTCGTCAAACACCAAGTGAACTGGCGAGACACAATGTTTTCACCTGGACTGTTAATGTGATGAAGCTCGGTGAGTAGCTCCGTCACCTTGGCAGCGTTTCTGAGTCGATCTAGTAGCATCTAGCAGTCTGGCGCGTCAGGCCTGAGATCATCCAAGGGCTGGGCACTGAGTGGGGGTGAGCGCGCGCAAATCACAAGCCGGAAAGCATCAGTGACAAGGTCGGCCTCCAATTGCAGCACCTTGCTGCGACGCTGCCACGCACTCACTATGACACTGCCATCGCAGACGCATCCTGTGACATCTTGTAATAGCCTGTGAGCTTGCGCTACTCTCGACTTAGCACTTGCGCAGGCTCAAAGCGTGTAAGTTTCAGCAAATGCAGCACGACATGTTTTCGCACGAAGCAAAGGTAAGAAAGCTAAAGTGGGTCCGCCTGGAGAGGAAAGGGCCGCAGCGCCCAAGGCAAGTGCTCACAGGTCAATCCGCACAGAAAGCTTAAGGCTCAAATTCAACAGCTACAGCATTGCACGTGGCAGATTCAACATGTGGCCTAGGAGCGACGTTGTGCCTACTTCCAAGACGGGTTGAACAGCAAACAAATGCAAAACAAGATCCCGCAATGTGGAACATATAGATGCCCCATGGACGTGACTCTTGGGGCACTGACTGGTTGCACTGCTTGTCAGCAAGAAGGCCGTTGCTCAGTGCCCTTCGAGCCGAAGCAACCCCGTTTCACTGCACCTTTAAGCATCCGGCCGAGGGCAGGAAGTCCAGCAAGGTGTTTCCTCGCACTCTCGTCCAGGCTTTGTGTATCTCAACTTTGCAAGCACCGGTCGCTTGACCTTCGCCATCGCCAGTGCAAAACAGGACAGCCACTCGTGCCCTGCCCCTACCTCCCACATGGTTTCGCAAGGACAGCTACCGTAGGAGTGAATTTGCAGATGGACCCAGCTGGTCGATTCCCTCTCAAACGACTATGGCCATGCGCGGGTTGGAATCGGTTGGAAGATTTTTCTGCCAAGTCCGCATGCGGGAAGTCAACCTTTGGCTGCATGCTAATGCTACCGCAATTCCGCTTCATTTCGGATTGTTATTCTTCTGCGCCCCTCAGCTGTACGCAGTCACGCCCAAAGCTGCGCCACGCTGTGGCTTCAAGATTCAAGAACCACTGCGCAAAGTTGACGCCGGGTTTGAGCGCTTGCGAAGAAGCCATGTTCCATGGCTGCCATGCTTGTCGTACGTACCCTTCGGGGTGATTCGAGAGGTGGAGCTCATGCTGAATTTGCACATGCACGACTTTGCAGCAGATCCAAAGGCCGTAACCTTCAACCATGATTGACCGGCATAGTCTGCTTCGGCAAACAACACATGGAAAGATCCCCTGAATCGTTGCCGCACCCCATCTCGTGATGTACTTGCTGTTTTGACGAGGCTGATCAAGCGCATGAGTTAGCTGGAGACTTGTCAACACAGAGGTTCCTGTCATGTTTTGCTCCCTCAGCGGTGTTGTGTCATTGTGCTATGATGCCAATATTGGTCTGAGAAAGTGGGCCGCCTGTGTTAGCCGTCCGACTAGTGTGCCAATCAGTGAAGGTGTCTGTGAAGTCCGATTCGGTAACTGAACCCAGTGACACAGGCAGGAACCCGCAAGTAGAGATTTGGAATTGGTGGAGGCCGACTTTGAAAGCGATGTCGAACACTGTCCGAGGCACGACTACCAAATGCCAATTAGCGTCATACGGTCTTCCGAGCATCCCAATGTGCACTCACCGAACTGACGCCTTTCATCTATCTTTTATCCCTTTCTTGGCAGTTCATACTGTGCTGGTACCGATGTTTTCGAGCCTGTGTCCGCAGAACCCTTCCAATACCTACATGCCTACGTGACGAAAAAGCCCGGCACAACAGTGTTCGAACTTGTGCTGCGAAACGATGCACTTGCTTGTGGGGCGCGCACGATCCAGCATGTCGAAAACGGGAACGAGCAAGCGAGGGTTCTGAGTCTCCTGGCAACCGAGCCAAGGCTTCTTGGTTTTGAGAGTCTGCTCGCCAGGCCTTGTAGAGACGCACAACAGCTTCGCCAAAGCCTGGAAGCAATGGTTCCTTGCCCCTGCTTGTCCTTGGAAGCGTGCAAAGCTTGGATGCTACCTGGGGCAGGTGCTAAATCGTTTCCGGACAGCATCTTGTCTAGCTTGCGGATTCAGCGAGAATAAACATGTCCGCCCGTATACTTCGAACTTGTCGGTCAACTCGCTGAGTTTGATGATGTATGTTGATGTGCAAGGCATGGCGTACTTTGCCAAAGGAAGCAGTGCTAAAGAGCCGACATCATGATGTTGAGCATCTTGAGGACCAGTGCCTCTGTCTGTGGAGTTGCCTCGGGAACCGACGGCGGACTCTCTGCTTCCCAGAAAGGCAGGAATGCTGGGAAAGAGTGCCAAGCCTTCTGGACGAGAACTAGCAGCTCCTGTGACGCATGTGCCAATCCAGCAAACCGTCACACAAGTGGGTTTGCCGCCTGCCTGCTCACCGACTGGAATATACCTGACAGCCTGCGCACAAGCCAAATCGGTTCCGTAGCCGATCCAGGCAAAATGCCAGGACAACCTCCTCGATGGAATTGATCAAGTGATCTTTCATCGCGGCATCGCATTGGATGAAGGTCTCGACGAGCCCGTGCATCAAGATTGGCCTGGGAAAAAGTACATGCATGGTACAGAGCCCGAACAAACCAAAGCCGGGATCAAAGCCTCTTGATGCAAAGTGCCAGGTAGAGCCAAACCCTGTCTTTGGGTGCGCAGATTGCACCTGCCCCACGCTCGAATCGGAATCATCCGAAGAGCTGACAAAGCTGTGACCACCTTTGAAGAGATCCGCACCTTCAAGCTCAGAAGCGCGGAGTTTTGCAAGCTCATGAAAGCTCTGAGCCTACTCTATGCTCCGAGCGTGTTTGCTCCAAGCGGAAGGGGATGCCGAGCTTGTGCCGGAAGTCGCCCTCTTTACCCTCACGGGCTGCAACGGAGCCTCACTATGCCGTGCATGCCGGAAGCACTTGTGATTCCTGCGTCGCAGTGAGAAATCTGAGGCCCAATCGCAGCATGATGGTTGCAACATCCTCGATGCATCGCCCACGAAGCCTGGAGAGGACATGAGGGCAATCCAAAACTGCTATGCAAAGGGCAAAAGATCAAGCTGCGCTCCAGCAGACCTCAGCAGTGGTAAGAAGTCTGGATCTGACAAGTCCCAGCTGGACCCGTCAGCAGTCCCCTGAGGAGAGGCAGAGGGAAACGGAGAGCAATGGTGCCAACGCAGGGATGTAGGGATGTCGGGCTATGACGCAAAATTTCAGCCGTACACATGCCAGAAGCAAGAGGAACATTTTGTGTCGTTCCATCGATGCAAATCGAGATGACAGCTCATCTGAGGTGTACGGCTTCGTGGGTGTTGAGTGGACCGGGAGCATTCTACCAGCACTCTTGAAGCTCAAGCGTCGTGCATATGCGGCATGTGCATATGTAGCTACGTACGCTGGGGCAGGGGATGGGCAGAGGGGTCGGTAGAATCAAAATCTCGCGCCGCTGTGCTTGCGGGATGGGGGCTGGGCCGCAGGGATTGTGTCGGGGAGTCAGGGGTGTGGGCATGGGCAAAAGGAGTTCTGATTCAACAAGACAAAGGCTAGGTTAGTGACAGGGCGTTAGTGGGACTGGGTTGTTCAAGGGAGTGGAGCGCGTTGCGGACTGCCGCATCATCTGCGTCGGCAGTGTGAGTCTATGGGGGTATTGAAAAGTTCGCAAAAACTCAACATCTTTAGCTGCAGTGCCAGGCATGTTTTGGCTTGCACAGTGCCTTCCCACCGTGTCCGCCTCTCGAAATCATGATCCCGCCACGGTGCAGTGCGCATTTTGCTTGCGACTCGTGTCGCGCCTACGATCTTGTGCCTCCAAAGTCCGGCGCCGGGACTCCTGTTCGCCGCCACGGTGACGAGTGCTCATCGGGTGGTCTTGTAGGGCTTGGGCTGTTAGGTGTTCTTCAACTGCTGTGCGTCCACGATTCCCACAATATCACTGCTCTTATCCTGGGATGTAGGATTTGCCTCTCCATACTTCTCCGGTGGACTGTTTATCCTTGCCGGAGTCTGATTTTACGACTTGCCGATGCCCGGTGCTCGTGTTAAATTTCAATACCTTGGCAGCCGCGCTGCGCTATGTTTTCGCTCTATGGAAAAGCTTTTCATGATCCTCTGTGTAGACATCTGCACTCGGCCGAAACTGTGAATTCTGTAGTTCTTGAAGCTGTTTCTCGGGCTCAATCGATCAATCGAGGAATAAGGATTTGTCATATGCTCCGCCTTCTCGTTTCTTCACATGATGAAGAATATGGAGCTGGAAAGCCGTCGGTGGAACAAACAACAGCTATTTCTAGCAGATTCTAGCATTGACTCCCTACTGCCGCCCAAAACACATCAGCGTAGCCTCAGAAAGCATGCTTGTTCATGGTGATGGTCAGTCACGAATCTAAAACACACCGGCGACTATGCACATGCCCTACACTGCGAACTGCTTGCCGCTGCGACCCTCAGCCTACGAAACTACCGGAAAAACGAGGCAACTGCTGCAGCTATAGCTCAAAAGCTCAGGATGGGGTGAGATGTAGATTGTGACGTCAGAGGTGCACAAGAGCGCTGACATGTAAGAAAGGCCAGGGAAAATGGTCTCCGAACATGTTGTCCCAAAATTCCTAAAAATGTCACACAGAACCGTCCTCCCATCGCCAGGCCTCGCCGTCTGTCATGAGTAGCAGCGCCTCCTCATCGGTCAGGTGAGGGAGCTGCCAGCCTGTGCAGCAAGAGAATGACAAGATCGGGCTGACGCCTTGTGCCAGGTGACGCATGGCAGCCCTCGGTGCAACATAGATCTTGTTGATGATCAAGCGGATGGTGTCGAAACGAACCGAATCCTGGAAAGCAAAGAGCGGGCCAGGGCCGCTGCCGTTCGGCTCCGCTTAAAGGCGCCGCCTCCCCGGAGGAGAAGGCCAACTTCAGGAGCAGCTGAAGCCCACGCCAGCGGCAGGCAGGCTTGCCTGCGTCTGAGCAGAAAGCTCTTTGCCGCTCTCTGCCGCTCTGCTGCAGGCCTTCGATTAATGCCAGAATGGTCAGCAACGCCATCTTTCGGGCCTGAACAGTCCAATCCAACAACACTAAACCCGCGCAACGTGCGCCCCGTAAGGTAGCAACTGATGCCAGCTGGCATTGCGCTTCAAGCGCTCGGAAGGCGGAAACAGGCACCGCAGGGAGCTCACCGAGGAAATTTCTCAACTCACGCCTGGCACACGCGCTCTGCATCGACTTTAAGCCCTTGTGCATGCCTTCATGCCTGCTTAATTTGAGCAGGCGGCCTGGGAACGTCTCGTTTTTCGAATTCAGCCAGGCACATGTCGAAGAGCTCCTGTCGGCCCGGAACTGCAAAGACAACTGGAGCATGCACTCTCGGGCCGTTGGATAGCACGATTCTTGAGCCCCGCTCCGCGTAGGTGAAGCTGGTCCCTGCAAGACGCCTGGAAGATCCACCCGCCTCCAAGATAGCCAGTCACTGCGTATGTTCACTGAACCCTGCTGGTGCCTCCAAGATTTCACGGAGAGGAGCACTTGTTCCGACTGCGGACTCCTTCTCGCGTGCAAGAGCGCATCAACTGCCGGTATTCTCATGCTGGATCTATGTGGTGCCTGGAACCGGGCAACATCCGCAGAAAACTTCGCATAAAACAGCTCTACGAGCTGATCCATGGCCGCTGATGCACCCACCTTGTCAAGTCAGAAAACATGTCCGTTTTTCTCTGCTGAGACACAGCTGCCTTGTTCGCTGATTGCAAGGACGCCTGTCAGGGCTTCTCTCTGGCTCAGGCGGCGCTGGTATTGGGCGGCCTTCAATGAGTCGAAGGTACGCAACACGTAGGCCTGACACCTGCTGAACAAGACGAGCATTGTACAGCTTGCATAAATTTAAAAGCCATCTCAGCTGCCAGCATGGAACGCTGCAAATCTGGTTTCAAGGCTGTCCTAAACAGCGCGAAACGCATTAGAAGCCGAAGCCGCGAGTTGCCCCAAAATCCCAAACTCACAGCGCCGCTGTTTGCAGAGTCAAGAGCGTCCTTGGACCTGCTGCAAGGTGCAAGGCAACCTGCACGAGGTGCGCGCGCGTGCATGTGCTCATGCACCGACTTTGCAAAAGTCTCGCACAAAGGCAATCTTAGCCAAAGCAAAGTGGCGTGGCAAGGGCTGCAGCATTCAGTCATGCCAAACTCGTATCTCAATCTCTGGTGGGAGAACAAGTGGCTCCTGATTCCTCAACCAAACTGACTGCTCGCAGTTCCTTTACCGGTGCTGAGGTTATTCCTCGCCCGACGCTGTAGCTGCAGTGCAACTAACGAGTTTAACCAAGCTTGGGCCCGAGTAGAGAGTTGACTGTGTCACACTTGCTGTGCAGCGGGCTGTCTTGCCGACTAGGAGCCCTTGAAGGCGACGAAAGGTGCTTGGTGGCGCTGGTGTTCGCCGGAATCTACGGCTCCCCGCAATCCCGTTCGATTGCCAATGGGACGATCGCTGCTGCGTTCGACTTCTCCAATCGGCCACGCTACCCACATGCCCGGTGCTGTTTGTGGTCTGTGAGTCAATGCTTCGTGAGGTTTTGCCTGCGGCGTGCCAGCCCAAGCCTCTCCTCACCGACGCTTCCTATCTCTCCCTTTCTCTCTCCCTTGCTCGTTGAGTACTGGCCTCTCAGCTCGTCCGGTGACCCGGTGACGCTTCACATGTCTATTGTGCGCCTTCTTTAAATCATGTCTTCCCATTTTGAAAGAGCCTACTAGCCAGATCAAGATGATACAGATGCCCTCCAGTGATGTTTCGATTTGGAAAGCCTCTTGATTTGGGCCCTCTCGGCTGGTTGCACGAAAGTTTTGCTACATAGCAAGGCTCTGTGTTGCGAGTGATTCCATGACTCCAACGTAACCCCAAGTGCAATCGTCATGGGTCAATGAACAGCGGCCTGTCGGCTGACTTGCTCATAAGCGGCGAGCTGCGATGGCAGCAGACAGCATTTTAGAAGCGACGTGTCCATTCCTTACCCAAGGCTTCAGCATCAATCTTTTGGTAATCGCACTGAACGCCACAACAGCATAAGGGCACGACTGCTCCAGCTGGCTAAAACCTCCTCATACAGCTTCAACTGCAATGCCTCGGTGCTTAAGTGCCAATCACAGCGGCCTCGAACCATCGGTCGATGCACTAAGACAACCGCATCCTTTGCACGGACGTCTTTCGGAAGTTGCACCGTCCCAATTTCCATCGGCACAAGGTGTGAGGCATCGCTCCCGCCAACACCCACAGGTAGTGCTGCCCTCGGATCGCGTGCACCAGGCTCTTCAGGCTTGTCAGGTTCAATCCGGGAGGCCACCTTGCCATCTATGAGCAGAGACAATTGCTCTTGAAACGCGTCCGGCTCCGATGCTCCATTTGAACCGTGCCCGGGAACAGGATCGGAAAATGCAACGGCATTCTCATGAGCACGTTCTCGATGAAGGCTACGCTGTACCGACAGCGAGCTTAGGGACGTAAGTGCTATCCGAGCGAGCTCAGCCTCCACACGGACAAGCTTTTGATTCAACCGAGGACAGTGACAATGTGCTCCTACACCGAATGCGGGATCCCGGCCACAAACAACCTGTAAGACATTTACCCCTTTTTGTCACCCTGGCGCCTGACTGCTGATTTTGGTCGCAAGCACTGCCGGCCCAGGAACGTGTCCAGCTGGTTCCCGCTGACTTGGCAACCCGAAATAGTCTTCCAAACGCCTGCAAGTTGACTCTGCTTCACCAGACAGCAAAGCGTCTGCATCAAAGATCACATCTTCTGCTGTTGTCCCGTCACCGCATTGCCAGGTCCAAACCTGGGTCGTTTGTTCTCTAAGAACTCCCTCGACCTACAGCTAACAAGGCTAACACCTCAGCGACGCGCACACCTGTGCACTCCTACACACGCAGACATGCTGAGGCCTTGATGCGTGAATTACCCCGCCACCATCCAAACCGGAACCTAGACCATCTAGCAAAGCGCCGGATTTTCAACGTCATCATCATCGCGATCGCCATCATGGCATTCCTCATGATCACCATCCTCATCATCACGAGGTGTGGCTTTGCCGAAGAACGCTGTCATTCCCCACCCGCCGATCTTGCCCCGAAGAACCTGAGGACCAAGTCTAATGAGAAGTCCGAAATTGCCCTCGAAACACCAAGAGCAAAAAACAATGTGGGACATTATGGGACAAGGCATGAGCGGCAGTGGACCCAAAGAAAACGCTGCAAATACCGATTTGTTTTCAATGTATCGTGTGCCAACCGGACTGCTCTGTTCCCAAAAGACACTAACACATGCACGTTATCATGGTTCGGCCAAGGATGTTTTTGGCCCCAACCGCACTGGACCATTCACGTCATTTGCCTTTGTGCATGAATGCTGTGAGCGCAAACTGCACCAGGCCACGGACGTCAATAGCTTTTGCAATGGATGCTCTTTTGTGAAAGGCACTTTGATGGACAGGATTGCTGGTCTTTTGACATGAAACCAAAATAGAAGACACAGCGAACAATGACCAAACCACTGGACGTTTCAGCATATTTCGATAGCTACTAGTACACCAAAAAGACCGTAAAGCGCTGCGTTCGTGAACACGTCAGTGTCAAAATAACAAGTCTTCCCCTCGCACCGGGGTAGTGTAGAAGTAACGGGTAGCGGTATAGCAGTAGAAGTAGTAGTAGTAGTAGTAGTAGCAGCAGCAGTGCTAGTG